GGATCTTCAGATAGGGGGCAAATTGTTTCACCATACTATTTTCTATCCTGAGACAATTGATTTTTTTCTCATCACCGCACCAGATTCTTTGCTACGGAATGCTTAATGTATTTCGATGATTATCCCTTTGTTGTTTTTTTTTTCATCTATTTATTTCTTTGCTCTTACTCTATATGAAATTAATATTTTCGGATTTACTACGCGAGATGAGATCTCGTCTGCTCGTGATCACGAGGTTGCTGTAAAGTAACTTAAACGTTGAGAGTATGTAGTTTATAATCAAAAATAAAAATCGCGTAGTAAACCGAAAAATATTAGTTTCATTTAAATGAATACTCGCGAAAATCTTAGATCTCTTTGATCTTACTACTAATTTATATCTATATAACAAAATTTCCTTCCTTGTACCTAAAAGTCGTATCACGATCTTAAAGTGATAAAACTAAACCAAAATCCGAAGTCCACTAAAAAATAGGTTAATTCAGTATATACAGCTTCGCCTAAAATAAAAATCAACGATATATATGAGATTTAAGAACATAGTAATAAGACAGACGTCTTTATTACACGTGATTTAAAAAAAACTTGTTTAATACCAACTATAATACTTAATTAATACATTTTAATAAGTATTCTTGGGGACAGTCGAGTATCTCAACTTGCTAGGGGTGTGAACGTGTGATAAGATTTATAGCGGATAGCTATTTGTATAACGTTTGCAGACTTAAATAGACTAGTTAGGATGAAGTGATTTAATCTCCTAGGATAGTCAGGGAATTTAAAGCATTCATTCAAGATATTTAGTCTGAACGAAAATGAAAATAATATATTATAGTAATATGAATCATATTAGTTTCATTTAAATGAATACTCGCGTAATTTTGAGACTTCATTTTATATATAATCCGACATTATGCCTATAGTATCCTTAAGGAATAAAAGATAGTAGAAAAAAATGTAAGTATATTGTAACGCAATAAACAGATAAGCTAACATTCAAACTCATTACATGTAATGCTCTCATATATAACAATATACAAGAAAAGTCTACCATTAAGATAATAACAATGGAGAAATACGTTTGGTTCAAACGGCTATTGAAAACTAACACAGTATTACAGACACATTTTGAAGATTAAAATAAATATAGACTTGGAAATAAAGAAGTTTTTTTTATATAAGAGACAAAAGAAATATTTCTTTTTATATAAAAAACTAGCTTTCCGCCCGCAGCTTCGCCCGCGTGGAGTTCGGTTATATCGCGTTTCCAAGAGAACCTTTCAAAAGTCTGGGATAAAAACTATCCTATGTTATTTCTCAAGTTCAACTCTATCTCTGTACCAAATTTCATTAAAATCAGTTCAGTGTTTTGGCGTGAAAGCGTAACAGACATAGACAGAGTGACTTTCGCATTTATAATTTTAGTAGCGATATATATATTATAGAATTAGAAACAATTAACCACCCTTTTTTAAACCCAGTTATATAATATACGCTAATATAAGAACATATCATTAGACTTACAACTATGTCCCATGTGGCAAAAAAAACGAATGAACCCACGGGCATGGGGTTAGCTATACGTTAGGAACTGAGCAAAAAACAAACATGAAGACATAAATCCACGGCCGCGCTTTTGTAAGCGTTATTTATGTTTTGTTTAACAAATTTTATAGAATTATAAAGAATAGGACCCCATTAAAACTTGTAAAATACGGATAACAAATCATCCTAATAGGTTATTCACACTTCAAGGCGGTCCGCTTTGATATATATACCGGGATCGGGTTCCGTATTGTTAACTATAGTTTTTATATATAATTTCTTCATTTTGTACCTAAAACATTATCATTAAAGCGCTTTAAGCTGTATTTTTATATTCATATTTGAAGATTACATTCAGAATAGAACCTTACATTAAATTTCATTAAATAATACAAGTATTACCATTAAATATTTAATATATAAGCTCCCTAAATGTAACGTAAATCTCCCTAAAATTCGGATAACTTTCGGGACGCCATTACTACAATTGATGATTGTGTCAATTTGACGTGACACATGACAGTCTTGACATGCGCGGGAAATTGATCGCGTCAATTCGATTAATAATATCATTATCTATATATATAATTCGTATTTATTATTAGTGTCAATAATAATTATTATTAATGTTTTATCTGTTTGTATTAAGTAAAAAAAATATAAGAATATTATTGTTGTTTTTTCTTAATACGTTCAGTAACAATCTACTCATCCAACATAGTCCCTTATGTTGACTTAAAGATTAAATCAATAAGAGGTCTTTATAGTCATGTTTAATTTTTAGCACATAACTAAATATAATTAAAATAATTATTATTTCCTACTCCTATGAACATATCTGAAAGTACGTTATTTTGTTTCGCAAATTTAAATTATAAACATTAATAAAATTTCTCTTATATTTTGCAATAATAATACTATACGATTTCAAACGTTTTTTTTTACTGCGTTAGAATAAGTCAATAAACATTTCAAATTACTTTAATAAATAAAACCTAACTAAACTTCTTGGTTGTCAAACTGAACACACATGCTTAAATAGAAAAAAAGTTTATATGTATTAAAAAAAACTTTATTGTTTAAGAAAGTTTAAAGTGTATATGTCACATGAGAACATCATCAATATATATTATTAATAGTATTAGGAGCTGGTTCAAGTATTGTATTAAGCACAATCCTTACTATGATCGATGGCGGTATGAGGTGAAAGTTGTAATGAGGACAACACCTTGTTAATCACTTTAATATACATAAAATGTTGTAATCTGTATGGGATTCATATTAAATATTTATTAACTGTTATATATAGATATATAATTAGGCTGTGATATAATATATGTATATATAAAAAAGAAAGTCGTGTTAGTTATACTATTTATAACTCAAAAACGGTTTTACATATTATGCCGAAAATGGGTGGAAAGATCAGCTTGGAACAAGGAAAAAGACAGGATACTTTACTTAAAAAAAAATTGATAAAACCCCAAAATCTTATTCACTGCATTTGAGGAGGAATAGAGTTCGCCCGGTCAGTTATACATAGCGAATTTGAAAGTAACGCAGACGAAGTCTACGACAAAGTTATACGACGCAAAATATTCAGCTAAAGTTTTATTACCAAGTATTATATATTTATTTTTTATTATATAGTATAGAATTATATACTTTATATAGTTGTTGAATATTTGATGACGAAAGTATGTAGTTTCGAAACACACGTCTTATTTTGAACATACTCCGATAGTCGACTCAAATTGTCGCTTGTTGAGATTTTGATGAGATAAATGATAAAAATATATTTTATAGAGCTATCATTTTCATAACTTAATTAGTGATCCGACGGCATCCATTACACGGTTAAAATTTTAGTCGTAATACCCGTTAAATGCACAGATACAGGCTATGTGAGGAATGTTAGGGTCGATACACACGAGCAGTTTAAAAAAAACGCTCTATAATAAAAAAAGAAGTATTAATTAAAACGCGATGTTTAACACGTATATTTCACATATATATCAATGTTTTTTTTTTTGTGAGTTTTTGGGCGTTTTTAAATAACGTTAAATAAACGCCAGTGTGTAATCAGCCTTATATTAATATCGGCTTCCGTCTTGCGTCACCGATGAGAGCAAGTGAACAGGTTGTTTGGTATCATTCACTCAGCGGTACTGTTGTGAAACAAACGTAATAATTAAATTTTAATAAACTTCACTCACTCATTCAAGTGTCAAATGTTTTACAAATATTTATGATATAATTAAGTTCATTCACTTATAGTCAAGACCGGTTAGTTTAAGTTTTTGGAGTGTCATGAATGAATGATTTCACTTATTACCTTCACTCAATACAATATTAAAACTTATTAAATAGTGTTGAAGAATGTACTATTATTACTTAATCCAAAGTATAAATAATAAATTATATTATACAACTTGTGTTGCTCAGTGTACAGCCAATCAATTTTTAGTACAACTTTAAGAGCTTTTCAAATATAATGTTCCTACCAGTTTTTAACTATTTTATAAAATTAACTTGAATAATAAATTAGTTATATTTTAATTTAAGTTTAAAAATTAACTATACTAATGTATGGGATATAATTTATATCAATAAATTATATCGGTTAAATATTATATATACATATATATCAAATTTTGTTATCTCGTAATACGATACTTAACTATTAATTTTATAATTTTTAGCATACATTATATCTTTAGATATTTTGAGTTTATTTACATTTGAACCTGTCCCATTTTAATTAATTATACAGTGAGTTATGATAATATAGTTATAAATTACGTTTCGTTCGTTTCGTTGTATACATAAGGATGTCGTCACAGTATCATCGATATATATAAATGATTTTGGCTATTTTTTTTATACATACATACAACACTAGATTGTTCACGAACTATGTACATAAGTATTTATAGAACATTTCTATAGAAAATAATATTTTATGACAAATATTTATTTTTCTCAAATAATGCTTTGTTAATTTTTGAATGAATTAACAAACAACGTATAGACTTCCTAATATTCGTTTGATTATATGATTAATATTACCTAATTAATATTAAAATATTTTTTTCATATAATATTTACCGTAAATATAAATTAGTTGTCAAATTCCTTGACATTGAGGCCAAGAATTCGTTTAAATTAACCTTTTATTTATTACGACTGCTTTATTAAGAACAAATTGACTGACCGTTGAGTTGCTAAATTTTTATTGTCACTGACAAATATTCTTATACTTACATACAAATATACTCATATACTATACTTTACAATTAATTAAAGACCATATGATTGAATAATTGAATAGAAAATAATGCTGTATCTTAATTATTAAGTACCAACTCGGTACAAATATTACAATAGTATCAGATGTAATATATGGATTTTTTTTTGTAATTTTTTTATCCTTAGTATTATGTTTTTATACTCACATTAGCGTAATGGAACCCGCATGCGTCCATACACAGATATAAACACGTGGACACCCCCTGGATCGTCAGGAGGCCGTATTTGTACGTCGCACGTTGAAGTATCGCTGAAACAGAAACATGTAGTTAGAAACACGTAGTAAACTACATAGAACAGTTTATATAAAAGAAAGTCGTGTAAGTTACACTATTTATAACTCAAGAACCGCTGTAAGAGTTTGAATGAAAATTGGTGGAGAGATAGCTTACAATACAGAAAGAACATAGGATACTTTTCATCTGATTGAAAAAAAAATTAAGTCCAAAATCTTATTTTTAACTGTCTTTAAGGAGGAATTAGAGTTCGCCTGGTCACCTATACATTTCTAATTATAAATCTAACGCAGACGAAGTCAAGGGAAAAAGTAGTAAGACATAAAAACCAATTTTATGGATTCATATATAGTAATGAGATGTTTTATCTGGTAAACTTTGTGAATGTCAATATAAATCTTAGTAACATCTCAATCAAGTTCAACAAACAGTAAGTAAATTGTAATTCATTACAAGTAGATATATCAATGTAAAAAATTATTACATACAGAAAATTAAATTCATGTCTAGACTACGACAGAATCGTCGACAATATTGAAGTCTACTTGAGATTGAATGACAATTGTATGGTTGGGTTGTAAAGAAAGAAACGTTTAGAACACAGAATGTTCTTGAGATTTGCATTCAAAATAAGTTTCCTCACAAAACAGGTATGTATTAGGTATAAAATATATTTTTATTTCTCATAGAAATTGCCTCATGTGTACGTTTTATGAAGAGCGCAGTCACAGTATCCATTAACAAATGCCCATCGCCGTACACGGCTAATGGTGACTGTAATGTTTGCATAACAATACGCTTGCGTTAGAATGTACTCGCAAATTTCAAGCAAAGTCACAATAAACGACATTACTGGTTATTACGTGATTTGAAAACGGAGAATGAATATAAAGGGAGGATCAGGAATTATTGGATGGGAACCAAAAATATAAATTAATAATAAAAATAAGGTTTTTCTAGTATTAGTCATTTACATCTCGTCTGCCCGTGATCAAAGTTACTGAAAAGTAGCCAAAACATCGTCGAAATAAGTTTTTTTTTACAATAATATATCCGAAAAATTTAAGTATCATTAAAATCTCTATATTATACGAAGTTAAAAGCAAATAATATTTAGTATAACCGTCCCTAATTTTAACGATACAAAATTTAATTGCGTTAATCCTATTAAAGGTGTTAGTCACAATGTATGGGGAACATAAAAACAAACATACACCTAACATCCAACACTACCCTTTAGTTAAACACAAACAATTTTATATATGTCCAAAGACGGCGCACCATCGCATAGTATCGCGTACACTTAGATAGTTACTCTAAGTATAATACACACTGTTTAAGGAAATAAATGGCATTCCACAGAAATTGAATGAAAATTTTGAATGTTTTAAATAATATGTGAGGATTTATGGGTTTGTTTGAAATAATATTTAATGTATGAAATGTATTTAGGTTGTATTGTATTAAATAAATTGTTATTTTAATATAAAAATTATTTTTACTATAATTAGAAGTTGTATTGTATTAAATAAATTTTGTATTATTTATACATACTAAAGTTCGGTTATTTTTTCAAAAGTCTGGGATAAAAACTATCCTATGTTCTTTCTAGGTCAACTCTATCTCTGTACCGAATTAATTAAAATCAGTTCAGTGGTTTATATTGAAAGCGTAGCAGACAGACAGACAGACAGACAGATTACAGACTGCAGAGTTACTTTATTTATAATATTAGTATATATATTTTTAAATATAAGTATATTATATTAAAGTAAAATTATTATTTGTTTTAATAGAGAAAAATCTAAAAAAATATTTAAATTAGTAAATTTACATGTTTTCATTATTAAAAATAAAATTATTATTATAAGTATTCGTCACATGAAAATCGCAATAATACCGATTACCGATTCACAAATCAATCGGTCTTTCACACAGAATGGACGAGTCTAATATGAATCGATTGAAGTCAGTCGGTAGAGGGCACTACCGGCGCCCGCGGCGGATAGATCTAGGACCACCATCAGTTACAAATATTTATTTATATTAAACAACATATATTAAATCAAAAAATAATTTATTAAACATATATGTTTATTTCGCTTGAATTATATATTATTCATACCTTATATACATATCAGTATACGGACATATTTTTTATTAATTTTCTTTTAAACTTTCACGTTAAATGAATATATAGTCAATACAATAATTATATATAAATTTATATATTATATATTTTATTACATACCAATGATATACTGTAAGAGATCTTTTGTTTGATCATAACAAATAAGTTGTAGTTTGAGATCCATCTTAGATCAATGCCCTGAGCTACCACGATCATAGCTACCTATTAATAATAATTCATTGTACAGTCATTTTAATATATATATACTACTAGCTTTCCACCCGCAGCTTCGCCCGCGTGGAGTTCGGTTATATCGCGTTTCCAAGAGAACCTTTCAAAAGTCTGGGATAAAAACTGTCCTATGTTCTTTCTCAAAGTCAACTCTATGTCTGTACCAAATTTCGTTAAAATCAGTTCAGTTTTTTAGGCGTGAAAGCGTAACAGACAGACTTACGCATTTATAATATTAATAGGGATTAGCTGACCCGGCAAACGTTGTTTTGCCATATAAAAAATAGGGGTTGGTAAAATTTGGATCGTATGTATTTTTAATGCTTCATTATAAAAAATAAAAAAAAAATTAGGGTGAACAACCTTTATGACTTCAGGGTATGAAAAATAGACGTTGGCCGATTCTCAGACCTACTCAATATGCTCACATAATTTCATCCAAATCGGTCCAGCCGTTTCGGAGGAGTTCACTGTCTAGAATTTTATATACAGGGTGACTGGTGAATTACTATCAATATTTAAGGAGCATACTCGGTACATGATTCTCATTCGAATTATGTAAAAAAAATAGGCACTTAATTTTTGACAAAATTTCCGTATAAATAAGTAAAGTGTTGACACGTTCCAAGTGTTCAAGTGTGGACGCGTGCGGCGACGTGTTGATACAACACCACGTCACGACATGCGTATGTGTGAGTGTCAGTGTATACCTAATCTGTAGGGTGTTCACACGATGCGTAATTAATTACATAACTTTTGGTTAACTTTACTTAGAAGTTTATTAATATTTATGTTATATTAATTTTTATTTTGTCATATATGATCGTCAAATATCACGTCCTCAAATATCGATAGTAATTCACCAGTCACCCTGTATATAAGATTATAAAACAATTCAGAATCAATTACACAAATAAAAGTAAATGAGTTTTTAGTCCAGACTTAAAACTACGTATAAGTAAATTTTCTTATATATTTTCGTGAAAATCTCTGCCAATAATTATATTTTATATCAAAGCATATGTAACCTATTTAACAAATGACTCCTATCGATAGTGTTAATTCTTGTTAAGGGGCCAGCTGTAATGTATGTAATTTGCGGACGCGCGGTACAATAAACCCTTCATTTATAGTGATGTACCGACACCATATCGACATGTTGACTATTAAATGTTACTTTATTTGTTCTATACATTACGTGTGAATGGAAAATAATTATCGAATGGTAGATATATGTATAATACTACTCTCTTTCTCTATTTCATATATTTAGACAAAATAATTTGAAATCTATTAAGATTTATTTCTTCTTGTCGGATTTTATGGTGACATAATCATTTTTTCTTCAATATCTTTATTACTTTGTAGGATCCTAATTAAAATAAATTTGACTTATATTAATGCAAAAGTTCTAAAAGTTTGCCCTACATAAAGTAATTTTATAATACATAAATTATAAAAACTTTTTTTTGGGTTTATTTAAATAAATAAATATTAGTTATATATTATTTAACATTTAAACTCTACTAGGACAATCCTATTTCAATTATCAAACATCAAGTCCTTCGGCGATTGCGAACATTGAATCTGAATTACTGTAATTTGAAACAATCACAGTATTAAAACTAGGATCTCATTGACAGTAGACAGACGGTAATACAAGGTAATACACGGTAATACAAGGTAATCATGTAATCTAGTACTAACGTATTTTTAAAGTAACCTTGAAGTGTACTGAGTGATTGTTTGACTATAATATTATCATAATAGTATTAATTATGAACGTGTGAATCTGTGATTTAACTACGGGTTTGACGTGACTCAATACGGATAGTTTTGAGTCTTCAAATACTTATCATATGCGAATACTTAGGAAAGTAATACTAATAAACGAATGTTTCGTTCTAAAAAACAATTTGGGGCAAGACCTAAGAATACTCTTTGAGTAAGTGCAATTTTAATAGATTCAATATTTATTGGATGGATTGTCACCGATTTAAGTAGCGAGATACAATTTAAATAAAAATATAGCTGCTCTGCTGAGCAAAAGCCTTATCTCACATAGAGAAGGTTTACTATATATTTCAATAACCTTTAAAAATTAATATGTTATATCTTTACATATAAATCTGTATAGTTCAATTAATAGTGACAGATATTTGAAATAGCCCGCTGATAATTATGTACAATATAATCACTATAGATGGCGCCAGTTAAGCATCACGTCATAATAAGCTCCAGTCACGCGACGACCGCACACACAGACGGACGTGTTGGCTGCTAATTGTTGTAATTAATAAACATAACACATCCCTTCAGAGCAGTCGCATGTCCTGACACATGATACTCAAACATCTATTCGTCTTGAAGCAATAAAAAACTTTATTTATTAAAAACAATCACATACTTTATAAATATGAAAGTTGATATTTTTTATGAATCCTCACATAAATTTGGACAGTATCAAGCATTATGCTAATCTGTTTGAAGTAGCGGCTGATCTCCAATTACGTGTTTTAAGATATCATTTCTCATAATATATAAATGTAATTGAATACACTAGCCTTAAGCCGAGGCTTAATCTACTCGAGATAAAAGTAATGTGGTCAGAGATGGTGCCTTCATGAAAATTATTAACTTAGATAAGGCTCTATATAAATAATAATTACGGTGAAAGTTGGTAGCTGTCAGAATTGAGTACGTTTGGGAGTCGGGACCACCGCCACGCTGATTGGATACCCCCAAATATTTGGTCATCCGCCATCACAGCACTTGTCACGGAGCTTTTATTTATTATCACCTTCATGGTCAATTAAATTAAACTCATCCGATACCATTGACAGTTTAATACAATGCCGGGAAACTGAGCTACTTAGGAATTAGGATTTGTTTTGACGTTGATTTTTATAGGTGATTGATTTTAACTGATATACTCCTATTGATTACAAGTGGTGTACTAGTTATAATATACTATAATCCTCAAAATTATTTTTATGACAGATTTTAATTAATTATAATACTTAACCATTGTAATGACAACATTCACGTATCACTTTATAGGCTCAATAGGACTTATATCCAGAGCCGTAAAAACATTTACAAAAAATACACTTTGTCTTTGAATACTATAAATAATAGCTTCAAACATTGCTGGAAGTAACGCTGGCATTAAAAATTTACACAGAAACTGTACCTTGAATAATAAAAAATATATACTTTATTTATTGAATGCGATTTTTTTGGTACATTAGTTTTAACTGATCAGGAAATATTAGAAGTGCAGTACAGGCGTCCGAGCGTACATACTCGACGTCGCGGAAGGAATCGTTTTGTCGTAAATGAGATAAGGCAGTCAGTGTGCTCATACACGATCAAATATGTCTGGAGTCTGGACTAATACATAGATACGAAACTGATGGACTCAGGG